ATTTTGTGATTTCAGTTTAAGTCTTCCCACTTTTCAACATAATGCGGTGTTCTGCATCATCATTGATCGACATTACGGCTGCTCTTTTTAGAGTTCGTTACATTACATACGTAGCTAACAATATGCTTTATTTTTACGGATGTATTTTCCGCAAACAAAGAGTGTTACGGGTTGGTGGAAGTATGTATGCCATTCTATAACACTTCCTATAACATTCTTATAACGCAGACAGTGACGAAAACATCTTCAACCTTTCGTTATGATGCCCTTTCACATGATGAAATTTGTAAGGTTGTTTGACTGGTTATTAGATAATAAATGAAGCACGGGGGCTGGTAAAACATGACGGCTTTATTAAATCAAGGCTTGAACTTACACGTCACTCATAGTTGTAGATTCACCATAGAAAAGTGACTCTGGAGGCATCCACTTAACTGGGAGACGCGCCTTAAAAACAAACAAACAAACAAAAACAAACAAAAGAACAAACAAACTAAATAAATAACGAGGTATCGACGATCAACAGAACGAACGAACGAAAAACGGAAACTGAGGGAAGGAATGAAATAATAACTGAACTATAAGGAATTGGTCAATTGATCGTAAAGTTAATCAATTGATTGATTGATTGAATTATTTAGCTGCATCTGAGCTTAGTTTTGAGCGGTTTATTTTTGCAATCACCTGAGTTCGTCTCATGTAAACATCTTTCTCCAGACCACGCGCCAATCCAAAGTCGGAAATTTTGCAGACTTTGTTCTCACCTACTAATACATTGCGGGCAGCCAAGTCACGATGAACAACCTGAAACACAGAGCAACATGAATCTCTTTCAAGGTCAGCTACCCATTTCTCCTGAATATCGATCAGGCACGTGCCTTGTTAACGCCAACACTGATCCTAGTATTGTAACCATATTTATTATATGGAGAAGACTGTTTTACTGGGAACCAAACCACTCGTAGATCCCATACGCCACTTCATCCGGGACCCGAGTGGCGTATTTTCCGTATGTCACCTTTGTGAGTGTCGTATCGTTCAATGACGCCACGATTCCCGCCTTTTGCTTTTGTTGAATTGGTTTCTCCNTGTTCTTGCCACGAGAACATAAAATTCATATCTTCTCGCCACCGTGTAATATCCTCTATTTATACGCTGAAATAAGCGAACTGCATGTATTGATATTGATTCATAATCTGATAATAATGTGAGTTTCCGAGTATGTTTGCAGACTTATTGACCAAAAAAGTGTACTGACAACATCAAATGTCGGACGTCCTCTCTGTCTAAATCTCTCCAATGTTAACTATGCTATCTGCTAGGGTTGCTTCGTGTTTGTTTTTGCTGTTCAAGCTAGACTACTGGTAAAATATTGTATTATTTCACGTTTTCTTCTGTAGAGAGTTTTTACTAGCGTGGCCAACGATTATGCAAATTTATTAGAACAAAAGAAAGTGACTACATAAGAGAAGAGTAAAACTCCCACAGGATTAGTTTGGTTCACCAAAACATGGCCGCCGTTTTATTATTTGGGGATACCAATATGGCTGCAGTGACGTCATGTGAAAACACTCTATTGGAAGGAAACTTGAAATGACTACTTCATCGTTTATACTACTAGATAAGCGGTGTACCTTCATTGTTGTCAGATAGTTCATACCATCAGCTATCATCCAAGCAAAAGATAACAGATCTTTTTCAGTGAGTCTGGAATTTGGTCTTTTCTCCCCCGTGTTGTACGTGTCCTCATGTCCTCTGCTCTTGCGCAGGTATCCCAGCAAATCACCGTATGGTAAATACTCCAAAACAATCAACATCGGCTCTGGAATGATAAAACAATGCAAAACTAAAACGACACTCACCTGAAGTTAAAGTTTGCTAATTAATTCATCGATGAAATCTCATGGCGATAACTTAAGATTGTGAAACAAATCCTACAATTTATGTGATCGTAATCTAATGAAAGAGCGGTGGTGATATTATGAATTCATGTAGGCGACGTAATAAAACAAACATCACTTTCTAGGTAGGCCTAGTATACTCGTAATGTTACATCAAAATCACGTCATTTAGGGATTTCTTGTAAAGTACTATTGGCTATGAGCATTCCAACACAACTTATTCATCTTTCGGTAAAGAGTAATTCAAACAATATTTCTCTAAACGCAGTAGAACCCTCTCTTTAGAAAGAAAAATAACAAGAAGAAATGCTTACATTAAAAATAAAACAACCAGCAAACTGAGATTAGCATGAATGTACCTTTCTCAATGCAGCAACCAATCAGTCGCACAACATGAGGATGAGGCTGCAAAGATTTCATGACGTCTAGTTCACTGAGCATGTCTTGTAAGTCCTTCGGTGAAGCATTGTCTAGATCACGTGTAAAAAGTTCT